GGCTCAAAAAGACTTTTAGCTGATAGATTGGATATCTGCTATGTTGCATTTTGCTGAGGAAGTTTTCAGGCCTAGGACAGCAAAGAGATTCATTCAGAGTCATTTGGAACCAATGGAACATGCTCATCCAAGTCCTGGCACTTGGAATCCTGTTCTGTCCTTGGCCTCACAGTTTAATGGATATAACCTTGAAGGAGAACTCAGTGTGTCAGATCAATTCCCAGGAAGATTTTTTCCCCCCAACGTGGCCACTTAAATTAAGTACCACTTAATTAAATTTAATCTTAGCTAAAAGCATATTATGTGCAGGGGACTGTGCTTTACAGTGTGACCACAGGCAAGTTTCATCTTCCTGTACCTCAGTTTCCTCACTGATGAGACAAAGCACTTCTGGTGCAGCTTCTCTTAGGAAATTCAGTGAGGAAAAGGCAGTAAAGTGCTCGTAAGTGGCGGAGCGACATGTCTACTGAGGAGCGTTGCTAGGCTGGCCATCCTGTCTTTGAGGCCTGTGCTCCCTGGAGACAGCAGAGCACTGGCCACCACGTTTGATTACCCAAAGCTGTGTATGTGGACTTTATCTATGATCTCACAGAGCACATGTCTGCGATTGGCATGTTGTTTAACAGAGCTTGCAAATATTGTAGTTTGGGTGGGGGAAACATAATAAACAGAATGGTTTATAAAGAATAGAAACCCTGCCCTAGTTTTGGTGCTGAGGACAGCATCCAGGGCTTTGTATACCTGGTGAGTACCCTGCCCTGAGACAGTCCCTAAATGGATGAATTTATTTCTCAGAATTATGGAGGCTACTAAGCCCAAGATTAAGGTCAATTAAGTACCTGTTGAGAAACTATGCATTAAGTCAGCTTTCCATGACTATAAAACGTATCTGTTATAGGTTTTTATGAAGTGACTTGATTTTTGTAGTCAAGGATGTAGCCTAGTGGTAGTGTTTACCTAGCACATGCAAAGCCTTGGTTCAATCCCCAACGATAATCAAGTTTCTTTAAACTACATATGGTGTTACACACGTGTAATCCTGGCACTTAGGACACTAAGACAGGAGGATTATCACTGGGAGGCAAGTATAGGCTTATATTGAATTAGAAGCTAACCTGGGCTACATAGAAAGCTCTTAAAACAAACAAACAAACAAACAAACAAACAAAAAGTTCCTTTTGAGTGGGGCCTGTGGTGAGGATACCATATCATGGGAGGAATATATTTGAGAGCAAGGAATTACATCTCAAATCAGAAAGAAAGAGATAGATATATAGATAAAGAGACAGACAGATATAGAGGCACAGAGCAATTCTTTTCAATGACCTCCCACCACTCATCTGTTGGCGTACTTTTTTAAAAAACACTTTTATTTACATTTCTTTTATCTCTTTCTCCCTACTCCACCCGAATCTCTTCCAACACACCAACACCAGGTAGGAGAGAGAAAGGGTTAATGGGAGAGGGAATGTAGTTCTCTTAGCTGCTTTCTGTTAGTTAGTTAGGGTCGTCAGGTTCCCTGGAGCCAGTCCAATCCAACTTTCAGGAGATCTCTAACTTCTTGTCTCACTGTAACAACAGCAACCAAGAGCTGCAGCGGGTGTGTGTGTGTGTGTGTGTGTGTGTGTGTGTGTTTGTGTGTTTTCTTTCTTGGAGCTCCCTAGCACTCTCTGGACTCTGGCATTTATTCTCTCTCTCCAGAGTCCTCAGATTTAGACTGTCTTCAGCTGGCAAAGAGCTCCTCTCAGAGTCCATGAGGCAAATAGTCTGCTGCTGTGGACCATCAGAATCAGTCCCACCTCCCACACCTGGGATTAACACAAAGAAATGTTTATATTCACAACAGTCATTTCTCAAAGGCTCCACTGTGGGAAGCAAGCCTTTCATGTGTGGGCCTTTGGGGAACAACTATCATCCAAGCTGCTCACTCCTTGGCTTATACATGGCTATCTTTTCACTGTGCTTTCATGTCGTAGGAAGGGCAAGAGAGGCCTATACAGTCTCCCTTACATGGTTACTGATCCCATTATGAATTTCTACCCTCGATCTAACCACCTTTCAAAGGTCTCACCTTAGAAAGCTGGCTTCTGCCTGCAAAGAACTTGTTTTAGTTAGGGTTACAATTGATGCAATGAAACACAATGACCGAAACAACTTGGGAGGAAAGGGTTCATTTGGCTTACACTTCGATATTGTAGCTCATCATCAAAGGAAGTCAGGGTAGCAACTCAAACAGCAGGAACCTGAAGGCAGGAGCTGATGCGGAGGCCACAGAGGAGAGTTGCCTATTGGCTTCCTCCCCATGGCTTGCTCAGCCTGCTTTTTTACAGAACGCAGGACCACCAGCCCAGGGATGGCACCACCTACCATGGTCTGGGTCCTTCCCAATGAATCACTAATTAAGAAATGTCTTACAGCCAACGTGGCAAGTGCTGGTGGTGCACATCTTTAATCCCAGCACTTGGGAGGCAGAGGCAGGCAGATCTCTGAGTTTCAGGCCAGCCTGGTCTACAGAGCTAGTTCCAGGACAGCCAGGACTATACAAAGAAACCCTACCATGTTGCCACCCCATCACACACCATTCTCTCCAAAAGAAAGGGGGGAAAAGCCCTCCAGCCCGATCTTCTGGAGGCTTTTCCTCAGCTGAGGCCCCCTCCTCTCTGATAATCAGCTGTGCCGAGTTGATGTACAATCAGTCAGCACAGGGCTAGAGTCTTCGTTTTCCCTGTGCTGCAGGGAGAAGTTTGAGCAGACTTTTGATCTAAAGAGCAAGGCAGAGCTCCTTCACTTACAGGAATGGCAGAGATGGGGACATCTCACTGGGTTCCAGAACTCGGTGCCTCTCTCTTCTCTTCCTAGCTTTTCAGTGCTTTCGATAAACCACCTGAGCAAACTTGTGCCAGGGAAGCTGGTGAAGGCTACAAACCAGAGCCTTGCCCCAGAGGTGTGGCTGTTGATGGTTTCCCTTTACCATATGGTGGGGTGCAATTGGTGATAAACACCCGTTAAGGTACAGGGTTGCTCGAGGGAGTCAAGAAAGTGGAGCTCATGCGAGCTTTAGGGATGAGTGCATGTTTGCTGTGAAGACAAGGTCAAGGGGCAGCCCAGACAGCAGTGTGAGATATCACATCATGTCCCATGTTTCTGGAGGAACTCGGATTTGAAGGAGCTTGGAGTTATCAAAGGGTGTTTATTACATAAATTCAACCCAACACTGGGATTGGGGAGAGAGCACCTTTGTTCCTCAGCTGGATTGATCTTAAGAGGATTTCAAATGTGGCTTAACTGGGCCTTTACCCAGAAAAAGAGAACCTAGACCTTGGCAGGGGTAGGGGGAACCAGGCGTAAGGAAGAGAATGGCTTGGAATACTCTAGGCTGCCAGCTAACTGGAAGATGGTAACAGAGGCTTAGAAATGCTCTGGGAATTGGGAGCAGGGGTAAGGGTCAGATACTCAGGGTTCAGATTCATTACCCATGAGATTGGCTGGCAGCACCACCCGCAAAGCCCATCTGGTCATCATTTGGGTTAGGTGAGACCTGGAAGCTCTGGGCTCAGTGATGCTCTGGCTTCCACTGACCAGCCTTTCTCCTCAGTGTCTCCATTCTGGTGAGTGTCTCCAGACTGCCTCTCTTGCTTAGCCTGTGCTACACTGTCCCAAAGCTTCTGAAGACTGAGGGCACCCAGCTGTCTGGACAGATGGAGTGGGTAAAGCCAGGATCTCTAGGACCTGGAAACCAGCCTGGTCCCTTCTTTTAATAGGGCTGTTATCAAGAGATTTTTGCTCTGGGAAATGATCACAGGGCCTCGTTTCCCTGCCAACCACTGCCATCGGCCCTGAGCCCCTGGGAACCATACACAGATGGTCATTGTAAAGAGACTGGCCACAAGCTGATCTGGGCAAATTCACCATTCACACAGCCTGTTGGGAACAATTCATAAAAGGAAGCTGGAATTGGGTGAATTCTAATAAATGTTATTATCCAGTCCACTTAGTGGCTAATAAAGCATGGTGGGGCGGCTGCATCTGGGCTGCCCTGAGGCGGACACTGGTAAGCAAGAGAGCTCCGTGGCCACCCTGCACAGGGAGCTCGTACCCAATGGCAGAACAAGGTCATGGGGCTTGGCCTTCTTAGAAGTGGGAGGATAATTTGGTGGTCCTGAGGGTGTCAGGTCAGAGAATGGTTCAAGTATGCAGGGACCCTGCTGAGGTCAGGCCTCATGCAGTGGCCATGAGGTGCTCTGACGTTGCCACTGGCACCCATCCTATGCTGCACGTGTGGAAACAACCTAGGTGAGGAGCAGAGAGCGGACAGGGATTAAGCACCAGCAACGGTAAAGCTAACTCGAGTATCGGTGGGCTCGCTCCCGGAGTGAGGGGCTCGGACAGCCCAGCCCTGCTCCACTCCACGGCAACAGAGCACTCACCCTGCTCTGCAGTCCTTTCGCTCACATTTCCGCCAGGCAGGCGGCTGAGCTCCCATCAGACGTGAGCCTGGAGAGTTTGTGCCGTGTCACCCGTCCCTATCACTTGTCCATGCAGTGGCTTTGTGGAGGACCACCGCCCTCATGCCTGGCCTGCCTACCTTCACTATATCCCTTGCATATTGTCATGGCTAACCCACTCTCCACCACCCACAAAGCTCGTTGTGGGAAGAACTGACCTTGTTCCCACACTCCCACAGCTTGTAAGTGAAGCTGGTTTCCAGGCTATCACACCCTACATGCTCGTTAACTATACTCTGCTTGCACAGTGTCCACACAACTACCTATGAAAGAGCATCTGCTAAACTGTGTTCCGGGACCAGCTGGAATTCCTACCAACTCTTTTAAGGTGTCTCGGGCAGGGGTGTTAACCCAATGAGGGGGGAAAAATCAGAGAAGCTCTGTGACACGACCATGGATCTAACAATAAGCCAATGGAGTCAGTTCAAACCTGGGTCCATGTGACTTAAGACTGGAGATCTCCCCCTTTGGAAGAAGTCACAAAGTAACTGTCATTTATCATTTATTCTCACATAATTTTGTTTGATCCTCACAACAGTCCTGTGAGGTAGGTAGGGTTATGTATTACTATGCCCATTTCACAGATGAACAAATGGAGGTGGCTCAGTGAGGTGAGTGACTTGCATAGTCACATAGTATGTTAGTGGCTTGACAGGCTTTGTACTTGCTCTAAGGTCAAGCTATTGAATTAGGAAGCACCAAAAAGATGGACAAAGCAAAGTTTTATGGGGAGAAAAAAAGGGGGGCAGTGTTGATTTCTGAGGTTTCTTCCTTGACTTGCTGGAACATGATCACAGCTTCTGTTTGTCCTGAATGGGTTCTCTGAAGAACTTTCCAGAGTACCCACGTGCAGAGGCTCAAGAGAGCCACACTGAGACTCCTGAGTCTCCCTGTAGGGAGAAAAAGGCCTTTATTGTACCAGGACCAGGCTTTTCCAGAATGATGAAAACACCCACTCACATGGCGCAACTATGGAAATTTTGCTCTGTCTGCCCGTGGACACCCGTTCCAGGCTTCCCTAGCTGTGTCTGGAGCTCGTCTCCAAGTGAGAAAGATTCTGGGATTCTCATAGCTCCAGTCACTCCGGAGATGAATCACAGTGTACAGTTTAGAGGTCCACAGGCTCCTCGCCTTCTGGGGATTAGTGGTCTGCAGTTTCTTATCCTTAATGTCTCCAGAAAGGCCCCTGGGCAGTTAGGACTGGATGGGGAAGGCTGCTCTTCTAACAGAGGTGTCGGGGGCTGGACACTTCCTCAGAGCGCTGTGATGGCACAGGGCAGTCCTGTACTGCTTGCTGAACACTGTTTCCAAAACCCCACTTCTCCTCAGCCAGTGATCTTCTAGTCAGAAATAATTAGGAGCATGCCGAGCCATGGCTAGTGGGGAAGGGTGATGAACTGGGAGCCAGGAACGAGGCAGAGACATATAAAAGAGCGCTGACTTATATGTTGACTTATAAAGATGGAAAGGAGCTAATTCTGCCAAAAACAAATTGCAAAGGGGAATCAGTTTTGAGTAATGATATCTTCAAAGTGTCCAGTCAGAGCAGGGACACACTTTTGTGTGTAAATGAACTTTCCAATAGCAGCACTGCTCAACCATGGCAGAAGCTGCCTTGGGGATGGTGAGCATTCTGTCACCACAGGGCACGTGAACTGACGTAAGTTTCCCTTGGAGGTACTCAGGGAGAGTCACTCACCCCAAAATGTACTGGGTGTCCTAGAGGAAGGGGAAGAACTAAGAAACTAGTAGATTACTTTCCAACCCTGAGAGTTCATAATAGACTGACTGGTTCCAGAGATGCTTCCAATTCATGGGGAAAAGGATTATGAAAGTCAGGCAACAGCTGACTTTCATAAAGTGTCCTTCATCTTCTTGGCTTCAATACTATCAAATCGTTGCAGGGAAAACAGTATCTGAAGCCAAGAATCCTTCAATTCATCGTCTTCAGGAGGGGCATCAGCGCCTGCCAAAGCCTGGACACTCACTCCTCTAGGCCATGCCACAGCTCAACTTACTCCCTGAGTGGAGCCACAATGGGTTCTGGGAACATCGCATTCTAAAACACCCAAACATGGTTGCCTTTGTGCAAAGGAGTCTTGGTACCGGGTTACATCCTCCAGAACAAAGAGCAGGTGTGATGGGATTTGCTGTGCATGTAATGTCCTAGGAAACTAAAAGGAGCCTCTTGTTCCCACCCCAGTCCTCAGCAGCCAGGGCTCTCTCTGGAGATGGCACAGACTACTGGTATGATGATGGCCCAGGTGAAAACTGCTGCTCCTTTGTCCCAGCCAGAGAGTCCTCCTGTGGCTCTTCTTGTGTGTTTTAGCTGACTTTTAACTTGTCATCATAAACTACCCATCACCAGCTCAAAAAGGCAAGAAAAGGTGGTTCTGCTCGGAGGACATGCAGATTCCAGAAGGTGGACTTTATCATTGGGAATCGGGTCCAGCTATGTAATCAATGCAGATTAGTACGGTTCCCTGCCTTGTGCCACAGGCGAGACACTCTCCTCAAAGCCTTGGCTGACACGAGCTTCTTGGGAACTCCTTCCCCAGTGTGACTGGGGTCTTTTTACCTGTACCGTATTAACCGGATGATCTTATTGTTCATGAAGTCCAGGGCATGTGGATGGGAAGAGTCGATGCAGAATCCATCACTCAGAGCGATCTTCAGCACCTCCTCCACAAAGACCTGGAAGCTGTTGATCTGTTTGTTGGCAGGCACCACCCACAGCCGTTTGAGGTTCTGCTTGGTGTACTCTTCCTCCGGAAGGCCTTCCACATTGGCCACCCAGTCAAGTGTCAGGTGGTTGGGGTCCTGTAAGTGGCTGGTGATGGAGGAGAGATTGCCGTTGGCGCAGTAGAAGAGCTTAGAGCCAAGGCGTTTGAGGAAGAGGCAGGACGTGCTGAAGATGTTGGCGTTGAACACCTCCATGCTGGAAGATGACAGGCTGTAGATCTGCGGTGCCTCCCGCACAGTGAAGTGGACTGTCTGCACGCGCTGCTTCAGTGTGATGTTGAGCATGGCGTTCTTCTCCGCCTTGGAGAGCTCCACCTCCTTTTCCTGCAAGGCCTCAATCAGGGGCTGTACCTGGTAGAAGTCAGCTTCCCTGCGCAGCAGGCCCATCTCCTGGAAGTCCTCCGGCAGATCCAGGTGGGAGGTTCGCAGGAAGTTGAGGATGTATCGGAACACTTTGCCGTCACGGTCGATGAAGCAGTTACCCTGGCTGTCCCTCTTGGTGGGCATCTTCCCACTGAACATGGCACCCAACATAGAGTCAGGGAAGCTAGTCAGGGTTGCCAGTGAGGTTGTGTAGAGCTTTCCCCCAACATTCAATGTAATGGGGTCAGACATGGTAGGAGGCTGGTTGCCTGGAAATAGTTCTAGATGGGTAAAACAAGAAATGGTTATCCAAACAGCTATATAGTCATAGCCCTTAACTCTTAAATATAGATCAAGGGTACCTGAGGGTGAAATGTACTAATGTCTAATGAATGATTGATAACTGCCGAACTATGCAAAGCATATCAGACTCCCAAGGGAAGCAGACAGACAGAAAGTGTGTGCATCACACACACACACACACACACACACACACACACACACACACACACCCTATGTCCAAGTACTCAGAGGGATTTTTGAAAAGTTTCCTTGGTGACTTCAAATGTTCAGTGAGGCTAGACAGCCTTTGGTCTGTGGAAGGAAAGAAAATGTGCCTGGGACAGAAACTCCCTGAATTTGTTTATGAGTTAATTTGCATATATAATAGTCCTATCATCTTAGGCAGTGTCATTATCCATCCCTGTTCTGTTGCAGACCAGGACAGCTGGGCCAGGAGTTATTCCAGGACTCAAACTCAAGTTCCTTTTTTTTATGAAAGAAAAACATGTGAATGGTTCCTAGTTGGAGAACATTATTCTCTGAAGTACTTAACACATGCTTTGTGATTGTGCTCAGTACTCTCATGGAATTTTTTTCCTTTCAATTTACAAATGGTTGGAACTAGTGCCATTTCCATCTATTTACCAGAACTATCATGGGTCACTTAGTTTTTCTCTTCCAAATGACAATCTGTTTTGGACACATGCCCCCACTACACCAACCCACTGCGCCATGAAGATGCTTATTTCATTCCTCAGCCATTTGAAGCGCAGCGTAGAGCAGTGATGCTTCCTGAAGATGCTTTGCCCTCGGCTGGAGATGGCTCGGCAGTTAGAGCAGTCAATGTTTTTGTAGAGGACCAGGATTCAGTTCTCTGCACTCTCATGGTGGCTGACAACAGCCTGTAGCTCCACGTCCAGAGGATCTAATACCGTCTTCTGGCCTCTGAGGGCCCTGTATGCATGTGGTGCACAGACATACATGCAGGCAGAATATTCATACACACACAATAAAAATAAAATATAGTTGAAAGCTAAGAAGAACAGCTGTCACTACCTCCCAGCCTCCAGCATCTAGGGCACTACCCTCCTTTAACTGAAAGCTTGGATCTGACATCTCTTTAGGGTTCTAGAGAGCATGAACTACGCCCTCTCAGCTACTACAGGAAACCTGTAGAATGGGCTCAGTGCTACCCTGACAGTAGAGGTGGGGAAACCAAGAGAAATAAGCCTCAGGTCTGCCATACAGAGGAACCCATGCTGGTGGGAGAGTGGGGGAGGGCAGACGGGAGACAGCGAAGGTGTGCAGGCAAGACAGATGCATGAGGAGCTGGGTGAAAATGAATCCTGGCACAGCAAGAAACCTCCTGTTAAACATACTTCCTGCCCAAATGGGGAAACAGGTCCATGGAGGTGGGGATGGGCTAGCAGAGGCAGCATACACTTCTCTGTATATCTCCGTCTGAAGAGGGTGCCTACAGGGAGACCTTCTCTCTCCAGAGATGGGCCAGGATGGACAAAGATGCTCAGCTGCTCCATGCATCTGGGTGTGTCGCCTCTCAAGTCCTTCTCAGTCTAATGGGGGTGTTTTGATACTGCAGAGAAGCATGAGCCATCTGGAGTGTCTGAAGAGGAGCCAGCCCACGATGAAGTTACAAAACTCTTGGCAGAAACATGGGGCAGATGGGCTGTGAGACACTGGGAGATCCAACAGAGCTGGGTGGGCAAGCAGCCCTGGAAAGGGTGGAGGCCAGCATTTAGAACCAGCAGCTGGGATTGGGCTCATAGCTATTGGGCTACCATAGCAGCACTGGGCTCATAGCTGAGTCAGGAACAGGCGGGACCCAGGAGTGGATCACCTTTACTCTGGATTAGATGAGCTCATCCAGAATCTTCTTTCTGTTTCTTCTTTCCCATTCCTGGGCTCTCATCTCCTCTTTTTCTTTTTAGACAACAATCTGCATATTTTAGTTTTTCTATCCTTGAGAAATGTCACCTGTTTCCCCATCCCTACCTTTCTAAAATACTGGACTTCAAGCCTGGGCTTTGTGAAGTAGTTCATCTCTACAGGCTCAAGGATCAGAGGGGCTATACTGTATCTCCAGACAGTTCTGTGGTCCAAAGACTCTGTGCCTCCTTCAGGTGTTGGTGCAGAAGTGCCAGGGTGGGGAGGGGTGGCAGCCACAGAGCTTTCCTGGAGATCTATGGGAGATTTATCTCCGTTTGCACAAGGTAGCAGAGTATGGTTTCAGGAGTCTTGTTTCTATATTGGGGAAGGCAACAGTTTTAGTTAGTAGGAGCAGAGGTAGGCTAAGAAGGCAGACTTCCTGCCCTAACCTAGGTAGCCCTCTATGGGGCCTGCTCCAGACACACTGTGAACTCTTCTTGGCTACCAGCTGCTGAGATCAAGACCGGGGAGGCAGCCTGGATTCTTCAGCACTACAATGTGTCTTGAACCCATTTCTACAAGTACTGCAAGAGCTTGGGCCAAATCCCTGATCCCTAGCCTACACCCTGTATCTTTTTTGTCTTATGTCTATTCTCTTCTGGTCTGCTGACCAGATTTTCCTGAAGCACTTTTCCCTGTCCAAACCACTTTGCTCTTCCATTCCCCCCAAATCCTACCTCTGTATATTCTGGGCTCTGGTTCTCATCCTCACATTGTCACCTGCTCTGCCTTCTATCCATCCACTTTTCTCTCTCCATCAGTTCTACTATGAACTTATAAAAAAAGAGAGATTTATTTGTCTTATGTATGTGAGGATGCTGTGTTCATGTACAGCAGAAGAGGGCATCAGATCGTATTACAGATGGTTGTTACTACCATGTGGGTGCTGGGAATTGATCTTAGGACCTCTGGAAGAGCAGCCGGTGCTCTTAAATGCTGAGCCATCTCTCCATAATGCCCTCACCCACTGTCAACTTTTAAGGCCTAAACGTGGAGCCAGTTTATCCATAAGGCTCTCTCTGCCCCGAATCCCTATGATAAGAGCTCTCTTCTCACTGGGGATAGTACTTCATTCTAGTACCCGAGTCAGAGACAGGAGGGTCTCTGTGAGTTCAAGGGCAGCCTGGCCTACATAGCAAGTTCCAGGCCAGCCAGGGCTACATAGTGAGTTCCTGTCTAAACAAGTAAACTCTTCTGGGGGCTTCAATCTTGTTCAGTTTGGTGGTTCAAACCTATGATCTTTGCTACTTGAGAGCCTGAAGCAGAAGAATTATAAGTTCAAGGCCAGCATGGTGAACTTAGTTAAGTCCCTATCTTACAATAAAAAAGGGCTAGGATATAATTCATTAGATGAATGCTTACTTAGCATGCATAAAACCTCAGTTCATTCCCAGTACTGGAAAAAATTAAGTCCTCTTGCTTCCCACCACATCTTACCCTTTCTCTAGATGTTCTTGGAGAACATCTGATGTGCTACAGGTTTTTTAGTAGAATGTATAACTGATGCTTAATTTTTAGAAAAGCAAATATGTTTGTCTAAGGAATTACAGGTATTATCTCTAGGAGGTTGAAGCTGTTCAGGTCAAAGATGAAAAGACACACCTCCTGAGTGAGAATAGACCCATGCCTCAGCATGCAGCCTTCCTGTCCATGTTTCATTATATCTCTTTCCCTGTCTACAAAAGCCATTTCATAGCTGGGCACAGTGGTGCACACCTGTAATCCCAGCCTTCAGGGAGGCAGAAGCAGGGGGATCTCTGTGAGTTCGAGGCCAGCCTGGTCTACAAAGAAAGTTTGGTACAGTCAAGGCTACACAGACAAAAACTCAGTCTTGAAAAACCAAAAACCAAACCAAACCAAAACCCAACAAAATAAAACAAAAGGCCATTTCATCTGCCAAAGCTCCCAGGATGGCATATCACTACCTTCTCAGAGTTTCAGCCCTTGAATAAACCCTGGTTCCCTTCTCACCAAGTCCTTGTCTCACATGTGTTGGCTTTGGAGAAGTGAACACACTCAACCCTGGATTAGAAACAACGTGACAAGCCCCAGATATGATGGTGAATGCCTGAATCCCAGCCGTTGGGAACTGGCAGACTGGCTATTTGACATCAGCTGTTCTATGGCAACTGCCTGAGATAAACAGTCTGTCTTGGAAGGAACGTCCAAACCGAAGGGAAGCTCAGTACCAAGAAGGAAGTTAAAATTGAGGAGTGAACCAAAGGATAGTCTAAGGTGTCTTAGAGGTGAAACATTCTATCCCACAGGCAAGCTTGTAAAGCCCTCAAATTAAATAATTCAAAAGCTCCAGGAAGTCCCTGAAACTGACTAAGTGGAGTAGGCCTCTCCTTCCTCAAGCATATACAAACTGTAAGGACTGCAGAGAGATCCTCTCAGGGAAGCCAAGCTGCCTGGAGGAGGCTAGATCCCATGGGCCACCTGACATACTTTCCAACCTATGGAGCCATGTATTGGTTGTGCAGTGTGCTCCAGACTTCTGTGAGCACAGTCTGGTAATGCACAGCAGCTTTTGATAATGCATATGTCTTTGAGTCGTTTCTTCACCTCTGAGTACCCACAACACAACTCACTGGTTGACCATGTTGGACTTTGGTGGTTTTCCTATCTGAAGTGAGTAGATGTTTGTTCGCATTTTCCCAGGAACTGTCACACATCACCAGTGCAGCTACTAGCACGTTCCAGGCCAGTCTGAGCTTTGTAAGTCTTTTGCCCCAAAACCAAAACCCAAACCAAAGAAAAAGCAACAATACAAAGAAATATTAAGCACCACTACCTGTTGGAGGCATGGAATTAAAATCACAAATGCCATGGCATGACTATGAAAATAAAAGTGCTCATGAAAAAGAATCGGCAGTTGCAAATGCTGATGAACACACAGTGGTGGAGAGAGACACTTGCTGATAAGGCAAGAATGGTTCTACTGCTGCCAATTGACTAAGTGACTCTGCGCCTGCAGAGAGGAAGCTGCATGCCTATGGAATCCTGTACGTGAGTGTCCAGTGCAGCTTTATTCGTGATGGCGAAAACCCAGAAAAATACTAACATATAAACCTTTTGCTGCAGTTATATAGTGGAGTATGACTAGAAATATATCTTAATCTAACTTTTACACCCCCCCCCACACAGGTAAACACAGATGAAAAGCATTGCAAGTGGAGGAAGGCAGCCTCAGAAATGTGCATGCGCACGATTCTATTTGTATAATACTCTGACAAGGAAAACACAGGTCAAGGTCTGCTAGTGGCGGGGGAGAAGGCATGAGCTAAAACAGGCACGAGGGACTATTTTTGGAGTGATGGAAATTCTGCGCACTTCAGTGTTGTGGTGGCCAAAACGTAAAAATTATCTATAAATGATCTCTCTAAGCTGGCACCGAGAACGCCACAGCGTGTGAGTGCGTTGTGGAATCAATGTAGTAGGTGTGCTACGACCAGCTACATCTACTGCAGTGAGACTTTTGTTTCAGTTATGTGTGTGTACTTGATCATAAAATGATACCGCAGAGTGAGACCCTGGCATGCCGAGTGCTTTACATTAAAATCAGAATTACAGAGTGGGTTGTGACTATAGGAGAGAGAAAAGAAAAAGTTACGTCCTTTGAAGGTGAGAATTGACTCTATGACAACTGATAATAGATGGGTTCACAGGAGAAAAACACGTGTAAATGCACAGTAGTTCCATGAAATAGATCCCAGAGAAGGGTCAGATTACTGAGTCCATATAGTGCCCTGAGTAACAGGTGAGAATGGGAGCCGGGTGCTTGCCACGCAAGTTTTGTGTGGAAGAAGATACTTACGTGGTCATACTGGTTATCTCAGGTGATAAGCGCTGTCTAGAGCGCTAGAGGAATGGGTGACGACCTGGGAGGAACTTCGTTTGGGCACTGGATGTGCAGTTCTTAGTCTAGTCTATGATTCACCTTCTGGGTTGAGGAGCCGACAGACAGGGTGCTCTTAAGACAATTCCTAGTCTTCGGTTGCATAAGGGATCTTCAGAGAAAGCCCTTCCTTCACTTGGAAGAGGAGTTAGGAGCTAGAAGGGCAGGAGGCCAGAGAGGCTTTGATTTTCTTTTAATTCAAAGCACTCAGCATGCTGTGCCACACTTTGCAGAATCATTTTCTGAGCCCCTAGCCTGCTGAGAACAATGGCAGGACTCATGTCTGCATGGTGACTGTCTAGCACACAGTAGTTCCAGGTGATGTAACAAGAAATATGTACCCTGGTCCTGTCTCCAGGTCTAGGCGTAGGTTCTAAAATGCTTATTTCCATGTGAAAGGGCCCTGGAAGTGCCTTTGGTATAATTATTGATCTTGGCCCCACCTCCTGAAATACACACAAAAGGAGAATCTGCTGATATTTTTTGTTGTGGTGATTTTCCTTTCCTTTTCCTTCCTTTCCTTTCCTTTTTCCTTCCCTTTCCTTTTCCTTCCTTTCCTTTCCCTTCCCTTTCCTTCCTTTCTTTCTTTTTATTTAAGACAAGGTTTCTCTGTGTAGCCTTGGCTGTCCTAGACTTGCTATGTAGAGCAGGCTGGCCTTGAACTCACAGAGATCCTCTTCCTTTCCTTCCCTGAGTACTGGGATTACAGATGTGTGCTACTGTGCCCAACTTCTTCTGATGTTCTTAACAAGCCCCTGCCAACCACAGCAGAGCTTATGCCAGCAGCTGCTTCTGGACAGCCCTTAAGGACACTGACTTGTTGCCAGAAAAACCAGCTATTAAAGGGTTGAACTTTCACCCCTCACCTTCCAGGAGGGACTGGAAAATGACAATCACTATGGGTAAATTATTTAATAAATTATAAATTATTTAACTGCCCGTGGCAGTTCAGTGTCCAAGTGGGTTCCATAGTAATGGGAACAGGGACTGTCTCTGACATGAACTGATTGGCCTGCTCTTTGATCACCTCCCCCTGACCGGGGAGCAGCCTTACCAGGCCACAGAGGAAGACAATGCAGCCACTCCTGATGAGACCTAACAGACTAGGATCAGAAGGAAGAAAAAGAAACCCTCCCCTACCAGTGGACTTGGGGAGGGGCATGCGTGGAGAAGGGGCACGAAGGGAGGGATTGGGAGGGGAGAAGGGAGGGAACTAAAGGGAGGATA